TCTGCCTTCGTGAAGAATGCTTTTCTTTTTGTATCATATAAGCTGTACTCTTGAATGAGAGCTTTTCTCAGGAATGCTTGACTATGACTAATTCTAGTTCATTCCAGGGTAATATGGCAGAATACTCAGGATGTTCGGTTGCTGTCGACGTCAGCTGCTTATTATGTATCTCTTCATTCAGCTTTCTCTCGCTATATACAATAGCAACATACACGCATTTCAATGATGATGACGGAAAACGACATATGTGCTGACACTGGGAAGTAGGACAATTATGGAGGACCTTGGACGACTTTCGAGAGTCTTTCTGGCTATGTTGGAAGTAAATTTCAAGGAGGGGAAACGAACTTGTCAGGCATTAGTTATTTCATAACAGCGAGGACGTGTTCAAAAAAAATCGGATTAGTTAGTGGGAAGAGGAAAATGGAAACGAAGTGAACGGTACAATGATCATAATAGTAGTATCAAATTCAGTCGACCTCGACGAGACGGAGGTCGATGTCTACTTCAGACCGCATTTTCTTTAATAGTAGTACACGGAACACACAAAACATTGTCAGGAACCATGTTGCAGAGGCAGCGTTTGTAAAAGAAGTTCACCCCTCAAGAGGAACCTTTGAATTCTCGCCTTTCTGGAGCTAGAATCAGGTGATTGGTTTCTAACATTAGATCGATCGTCAAAAACTACAAGTCACTAGGTTTTGGCTCTAATTCACATGTACTCCGACTTGAATTATCGTTACAGAAACCTGGCTAAGCAGTTGAAATAATATGGCGCTTTTTTGGGAATTACAGATTTCAAGTTAACAATACGATGTTATCCGTTGCGACAGACTCTACGAGGAGGGAGGGGAATTGTAGTTCTTGTCAGAAACTTCATATCTTTTGATATCATTTTCAATGATTATTTTGAGGGATGGAATCTTGCTATGGAATCATTAAAAATGACATTTTTTTCCATCAGTGCACTATTAGGATAACTCTGCTATACAGAACTCTAATTTGTAGTCCTAATATTCTAGCCTTCTGCGAAAAGTAGTGAGTAACTGTTGTGGACAAGATCTTCCCGCATTGGTTTTAATTAAGCCGATATTGATTGGAAAAGTGAACGAGGGGGTGATGAATGTAGCCTTAATTCCGGAGAATTTGTTGACTTATTCCGAAGCTCACAACTTGGTACACTTTGTTGAACAGCCAGCAAGAGGTTCATCCTGGCTAAATTCGATTCTTTATAACGATGCTCAATCGTTTCACATCTTCATCGTCTTCGATTCGGACTTTGCAGCATTAACAGCACCTCAAATGTTATCCGCATCAGAAGTTTGCGCTTTAATCGTATTTCAAAGCGCAGTTATACGATTTAGCCGAAGCGCTGTGCGCGACACGCGCCGCGCGGACGGCTGTTAGCATAAACGGGAGTCTGCGCCGCAAGTTGCATTTTAGGCGGAGCATGGAGGAATTAGCGTGTTTCACGGTCCTGTATCTCCATTCCTGCGCATGTTCGGACGGGGAATACGCTTCGACAGCTGGGAGGCTGATAGTCACGTACACCTAAACCATGCGCAACCGTAGCATGTGTCTTTGAGTTCTTTGAGTTCCTGCCTCTCCACGATTGTTTGACTTCAACTGATGTTCTTCGTGTGATTGTTTTTTTTTGATTGTCCAATTATCAGGCGCAGAAACACTGTGTTCACAAGTAAACGAATTAACAAAGTAATCGCAAGTAATGATGAACACGGGTAAATCGCAAAATCGCACTATCACATCATGGTCTACAAGATGTATAGCTTTTCAGACCTGCCGGGGAGTCGGGAACTATAAGGGAATCATAAACTATGCCTGATGCCAAATGCAAAATGCTTGTGGAAGTGCAGATTGTTACAAATGTTTGCTTTTTGTTGATCTCAAAGTGGCACTTGGGAGAAGCACTCCACTGTCGCTAGTGCCTTTCACTAACACATTTTGGCTGTCAGACCTGTAGCTCTTGTAAACTCCTGCAAAGCGATACTAGTGAGCCACTATGGTTACGAGAATACAAAAGGCTCACCAATGCGGACAAGCTTTGCTGAGTACCACTTGGTGCTCCAACCGAGACGAACTGCGCCCTCAGTATCTTCTCTCCACTCGTGGTAGGACTTCTTTGAGATCTTTAGCTTTCATTTCAACCATATAACCTTCCTTCAAAGTTGGAATCAAACGAGAATAGATTCAGTTCGGTTCTAAACAAGGTTTTCTACTCTCAACATCTGTTTTGCAGTTGTATCACATATATAGAGAAACACATCCAAGACTTGCTGATTCTTGGCTGCAACTTTATCCGGTGTTTGATGGCCGTCTCTTGCTAAAAAGGTTTTTATCATTATTAGGACAAGTCGCCCCGCGCTTGAACTTGACGAGCTAGTGAATAGCTCTTCCTTGGAGGTGCACCATTTACTCTATCTTCATGTAAAATCATAGCGCCATTTTGAAAGGCTTACGCACGGCCTGGAATACACAACACCTGCTGGGGCCAGCAGTGTACAATCAAATAAGCGAGACAGAAATTACAGCCTGCTGGGGCGCAGCAGTGTACCATCAAATAACCGAGACAGAAATGCATTGCAGGACTGCTAAAACATGAATGGTACGTTTCAATAGCACACCATGCGATCCATGGCTAATTCTCGAAAGTCAACGGGGAAGACGGTCTTTAGGACCACGCGACGTCCGCGTACGCGACATTCTGTGAACACCGCGGGCTTGCAATGTGGCGCACCCGCGAAAAGCTCTCACGTTGTCGAGTGGGATTGCGTTTTCATCAGTTTTCAGCCACGGTTTTCCTTCTGGTAGCACCGCTGGACTTGGTATGACCGTGAAGGTTTTCGCTTATTTTCTTCAAAGGCTAACTCGGCCATCATCGCACAACCTGATTCCACGAACTTCTACGAATCGTACAAATAAAAACAATTTGCAGCGCCCTTTTCTCCTGCACTTGTCGTTTTTCACTGAAGGGGCAATCTTGAAGAGGGAGATGGTTGGACTGGAAAAAAGCGAGGCCATTGCTGAGCCAATGTTGCGCTATAGACGTAACCCTCCTTGCATTTGCTTGTCCGAAAGCGCGTACAAGTCTGTTTTCGCGGACCACACTACCCTCCTGACACCATAGTTCCCACTTCTCTATCTGTCCGCCGGACTAACTGGAGTGATTTCATGGCAACAAAGGTGCAGAAAAACCTGCGTTGGTTCTGCTTGTTAGTTAGTCCAGCTTATCAACTGTAGTCCCCAATCAATCGACTGCCACAACGTTCTGGACAGCAAGCTTTTAGAAACTGCACTTGTTGTAGCATTTTTTACGTACAACGCACTATTCTGTTGAAGAAATGGTAGTGAAATATCAACGAGCGCATGCCGATCGTAGGCATACGGTATTTGCAGGTGTCACACGCGAGGAGATGTGGTCCTGCCGATCACAGTTCGCGCCTGTGATATTTCTGATACATCACTTCCACCAGTTTGGCTTCAGTGGTGGATAGTTGGCTCTCGTATATCCATCACAGCCCTGCTCAAGGCCGCAAGCGTCGTCCCTTTATACTTCGTTTTCTCTTTCCGTCAGGACTAGACTAAATCAAGGAAGGACACACATATGTGCACAGCATTTACACCTGAAAAGTGAAGGAGTCATTTTTGTTCAGGTTCATTTTCTGGGGTGACTAGGTACTTGATGAAAGAGTGAACGGTGGAAGTTGAGAAAATGCAGGATGCTCGTTTAGGTGCTCTGGAGCTAATATGAACCTTTCTATCATAGAAGCGTACTGAATTCTGCAAGGGAAATCGATCGCGGCTGCTCTCGCTTCTGACCTACACGGCTAAGAGTTGGTGTGTCGCTGCCATAAAGTGCTCAATGCTTCAATAGCAGAAGCACTATACTTCTTGATGAACTTCCTCCGGCTGGTAGCTGATAAACCCGTTCATGATTCTGACACTTATTACGGCGCCGAGGCCATTTGGGGTCAGCATGGCTCTAAAGAGGCACCACGTTCGGAGAGGTTAACTCTGAAGTCACTAATCACTGAAGAATTTTCAATGTAGCTCACTACATGTAAAGTAGAGTACATGAATGTTGACCACATTCAGCGTTTCTCATGCCTAGATAAAGGACATCTCATGAACGCTTGGAACAAACATCATCTTTGTCGTGAACCGGTACTCCTGCTCAGAGTAGTTACTGAGGTTTTATCTTTAGGTGTTTTTGTGTTTTTAGCTTTGAACGGGTTTTGCCTTACTGCTGTAACTGCTACTGAATTTCAGGCGAGACCAGTTCGTGTCGACCGACTGTGCGGGAGGGTACGCCAAAGAGCGCACCAGAACTGTGATGATTGTCAAAATACTGCTCTTCGCTGCATCAAAAAGTCAGAATCGAAGAGACTTCTGAGTGTGATAGAGCCTATACAGCGACTTGCTGACCGGGGGGGGGTGAATGAAGTACAAGACAGTGTCTCGTCCTACGAGACGAGCGGACACCGAATTAAAGGACTAAGGAGAGAAGGGAATCCCGATTGGCGATGGTGAGAGCCGATAAACCTAATCGGCAGAACCGGAAGACGGCCCGCCACTTTCCTCTGCATCAGCCTCGCCCTAGCAGAGGAAAGTGGCGTGCCGAAAGCGACACATCAATGTGAATAATATCATTACGTTATCACACTATAATCTCAGAGGCGATTCTCAATTTTGTTGGTTCGGAGGTGAAGAAGTAAGGTTAAATTGTGAAAAAAGTCCATTTTTTTACCCTGTTTTAGGTTTTCTGGTTATCTACATATATCTGATCGCGAAATGTCATACATTTTAGATGATGAACCATTCCCAGAACAACTCTCAGAGAAATCGGAAATTTCGGTGGTTTGACCGTAGCTTGACCGAGGCTGCCCATCATTTTTTTAATGCACAGGTGACATATATGGCGTGCAGATTTTGTCACATCATTACCGTTTCTGCTTCCAAGTTTTGAGACAAGAGACAGTATGTCAGACGGATTTATATACAAGATAACAGCTAATGTAACGTAACGAGCGTAACGAATAAAGAATTTCACTGTACTCCTGGAGTGTACCCCACTCACACGCTAGCACAAAGTTTATTCCCATTGCAGAAGGTTCCAATGGGACACTGCGAGCACGGTGAGCCGGTGTTGTAGATCGCGTTTTCGACAATATTGCCTCTGAATTTGAAAATACGCGATTACAGCTGAGAAAAAAAATCCTGGATTCGGAAATGTGCGATCTACAAAGAAACGAAAATTCGATAAAAAAATTACCCAGGACTGTAATGACACACGGCAGACCATCTATTCCCGCTACATGGATGAACAAAACAACCGATCTCGTATGTACTCGCCCATGCCATCTGCAATTTTTGGAATAGAGCCTTTCTTGGCCCAAGTGCATAATCGGGATAATAATAACAATATCAATAATGTAGATACAGAAGAATGTTGGCGCTGTTTGGTCCGACAACAGGACACTTTGCATTTCCGCTATTCCCTTTTGTTAGTTACTGTTAGCCAACGCGTTCCTTTTTGGTGAGACCTGCGTTCAGCAAAGTGCTATGCGTGCAGATTACCTTGCGAACCTTGCGAGCGCAGTTTTCCATTCGGCCCCTTTACTAAGCAAATATGCGCCACCTACTTCAAAGAAAGCGCCTCTTTGAAACTAAAGCTCACTCTGGTGAACGAAGCTATCCGCGTGCCTTGGAACTTGCTTCTGAAAATGACCCTCATTCCAGGGCCATCAACTTTGCGGATTTGGCTCCACCAGTGTTTAATAGCCTAAACAGTGACAAAATATTGTCGGATGCACCGAAAATCGTTTTCGTGCATAAGGCATTCAAGGACTCTGCTAATTTACTCACCACTAAAATTGCATCCTTGCGGTATTGAGCTCGACTTTTTGAGAATACCATAATGTTCTCCTGTACGCCAGCTGGAAGCATGGGCCACGTCGAGGTGTCACATCTCATTGCAGATTGCCTTGCAGAGGATTCTAGGTCACACTGGTACTGCTGAATTTGAGAGCTTACTATGCCTGTTCAAAATTATTGCCTCGTCAAATCTTGAAGGGCTTCTAACATACCAGTCTCCTTATGTTAGCACCTTGCGGCAAATTATTTCCGTTGTTTTTTGTCACAAGTCCCTGAGCAAGACGGGATCCTGTGCGAACCTTAGCATTAAACGTTGTAGGTCCATTGTATAGGGAAAAACCAACATACCTGCGATAATTGTGTCCTTGAAGCGCTTGCACTCTAACTCTATCCGTTGTGTCGGGGATCTGAGTGCACATCTGGTTGACTGCTAGAATAATGCACAGATGAGTCAAAGCTCCCACAACTGCCTTTGTAAAAAAAGTGGTTATGCATCATTGAACTACGCCAAAGTCTATCCTCTGGAACATGACAGATCCAGCTTCAAGTAGCCTGCACTGCTGATGTTTAGTTAATTCGCATGTTACCCGCTGTTTGGAATTTTACCGTAAAAATGATGGATAATGAACGAACAAGGATTTGGGTGCGCATTCGTCGTTGTAGTCGTTGTAGTGGTAGTAGTAGTAGTAGTAGTCGTTGTGCTCGGAATGGTAGTAGTAGTCTCCTCGCTAGTTGTGGAGTCAGGTACATCAGTGGATGAAGCGCCAGGTACAGTCTGCTGCGCTGATGACGTCACCAGTACCTTCAAGCATGTTATTCACGAATGTTGGGTGGAAGGGAAGCTAACTGACATACCGCTAAGAAACCGAGAACACGTGAAGCAACGCTGAGGCGCATTCCCCAAATGTGATGCTGGTGCCTGCCCAGACGCTTTAAATGTTCCATGGAATTCAATCCAAAAAATAATGAGAAAGGATGGGTTGATGGGAATCTTTGAAAAAAAGCCCCAATGAGGGAGGATTAGCTGGCAAGGGTTAAAAAAATCGCTCATTCGGATCGGCAGTCAGTCACAATCATGAGCCACGTGGCGTAAAGAAAAGGTTTTGCTCTGCGTTTACCTATGATTGTGTTCTGACAATGATGAGCTTTCCACGTCTCATAGACGTCTTTATCAGTCGCCGCTAGTCATGAAATTGCTCGAGCGGGCGTCAATGGTGTTCCCTTTCGCAACCGCAGCGAGGCACAATAGTTCTATGGAGCTCGAGATACACGGAGCCCATCTTCCCAGAGCTCTCGCGACGGAGCTGACCATGTGGCTGATGTTCTTCGTTCCCGAGGATTCCAAGGGTGACCCCTCTGGTGCCACTCACAAACTTGCTCAACGTCGCATTACCATTGACTCCCTTGCAAACACCGTAGAGTCCCCAATTTTCGACCGTAGCCGGAGTCGGAACTCCGGACTTCCTTTACACTTCTATATATGACCGCGTGGCTTTCACACTGCTTCAACCACTGTTCTAGTGAATTCTTAATCTTACA